AAAGGTAAAGCCACACAGAATTGTTGCATGAGAATGCTTTAGCCTTTGTTGCTAAGATGCTACATAGCTTGCAGTTTGAAATTAAGGCATGTCTTTCTCCATTAACAACAAACACATGGGCAGATGTTACCTCCATCTCCAAATATCATTATTTCTTCTTCCTGAGCTGCATAGAAGGACAGATTGCCTTCTGCCGCCATTGAACCTTTGACCTTTTTGTTTTTATATGGGCCCAAAAAGCACCAGGCCAACCTGACAGCCTTGAATGTTCCTTGGCTGGTAAGGCTTGTGTGGTGACATTCAACAGTCTCCCAGGAGGGGGTTTTCTTGGCGCAGACTCTGCGTTTTACAAGGTCCCCCAGACTCAGGCAGTCCACAAGCAGGTGGGGATAATAATTAAGTATGATTACAAGACATTAATCCATCCAAAGAGTGACAGCCACAGCTGCAGCAGCATTATACAGGCCCTGCAGGTGACTCCCAGCAGGCTCGGCAGCAAAGGCAGGCATCCTTTCAGCAGCATTTATATTTCAGTCAGTGTTTTGATTCGGCACAGACTTCAAAAATGATGCAGCACCATGAAGGAAAAGCTAAAGCAGTCTAATGGTTAAGATGCAAAATATATTCATTCAGTCTCTTTTTTTCTATCACAAACATTTTCTTTCTTTTTTAAAAAGACGTATTTTTACGCTTTAATTTTATCTTAAATGGAAGTTGTAAACAGGCCAAAAAAATCACACATCTTTTAGAAATAAGATCTGTTTTCCTGGCCTTGGTTAAAAACAGCTTCGTTTTCTGCAGAAATATATTTAGTTTTTTCCTGTGAAAAGACAAACAACTAAAAAAAGCACTAAGTCCAGCTGGTTCTGATTTCCACTTTTTAAAACATTAATTTGCTGTACAACACATCTGCTATTCTTAGCAAAACAAAGTTTGGATCATAAATCATCTCTGTCCTGTTTTCCTTTCATGATGTTTTAATACATTTTGTTGACACAAAAAACAAAAATGCCACATAAACAATGAGTTAGCAACTAAACGGGCTCAGACTAATTAGCTACTACCTAGCTTACTAGCTAATGAAGCTAACTGCTTAATTTAAACTTATGGTTGCTCAAGCTACCATTAGCTTGAGTATGTACCATGCTAATACATACTCAAGCTATGCCAAGTTAGGCTACTCATGCTATCAGCTAGTCAGTTTGGCTGCTGGTTAAGCTAACAGCCATCTTGCTATGCAGCAAAATAACCTAAACATTATCAAGACAATAAATAAGAACACTTTCAGAAATAGAGAGGTTTCTTCCTACAGCAGTCCTAAAATGCAAAAAATATTAAATTTTTCAGAGTTGCCCTCATTCAACATATATAAAACTTACTTTTGAAAACCTAATACGCTTATTGTTTGACAAATCATCCAATTTGGGCCTTTTCTACAGAAAAAGTCGTATGTAAACTTCACCATTTGAAGAATTACCTAAACTCTGGTTTAAGACACTACTTTTGCTATGAAGGATAAAAAAGGCAAGTTTGCTATTGGGTAATTAGTGGGATAAGGTCCTTCTATATCCATCAGCAGTGGCTGACAGCTGGAAGCTGTTAGGCATGTGAAAATGGATTTCTTCTCACTGTGAAACTAATTATGGACATACTAGCTTAGTGGGAGATTTCGGGTTTGGGTCTGCAGCACAACCCACGGCGTGTGCATAGCTAACAGACACATCGGCAACAGGTCAGCCCAGATCATGGCTCAGAAATTTAAACTGACCAGGAACTTTACACATTAAACAAAGGCAATGGAAGAAGTTTGAGAATGCCTTGCATAAGTATTCCTAAACTTTTATCTTTTTCAAATGTAAATAGATCAACACAAAGTGAAGTTAGTGTTTCACCAATTCAAATGTAAGACTTTTAAAGATCATAATAAATGAAATTTAAGACCTATATCTCTAGAGAAATGTACAAACTTCGTCCAGCCAAGTGACGATAAATTTATCCATGACACGTGAATAGCTAGCTACTTAGCTAGTTAATTAGCTAGCAAGCTAGGTAGTGGTTCCCTTGCATGGCTACTAATTAGTGTGGGCTCGTTTAGTTTCTTACCTATTGCTGTTATGTTGTGGCTTTTGCACTTTGGGTCAACAAAAGGTAAAGCCATACAGAATTGTTGCATGAGAATGCTTTAGCCTGGGTTGCTAAGATGCTACATAGCTTGCAGTTTGAACAGCTTAAATTGACTAGCTGTTAGTATGAGTACCCTAACTGGGCATAGCTTGAGTATGTATTAGCCTAGATAGCTGTTAACTTGAGCAATGATTAGCCTGAATTGATAAGTTAGATTCATTAGCTAGCTAGTTGTTGTCTTGCATAGTCGCTAATTAGTGTGAGCCTGTTGTTGTTGTTGTGGCTTTTACACCACAAAACATATTTAAATATCATTAAAGCAAAATAATCCATGCTTGAGAATGTTTTAGCCTGGTTTGCTATGAAGCTGCGCAGATTACCGTTAGAAGAGCCTTTAAGATGACTAGCTGTTAATATGAGTAGCCTAACTAGCCATAGCTTGAGTATTTATTAGCCTGCCTAGTTGTTAGCTTGATCAACCATTAGCTTGTAGCTTACAGTTTGAATACCCCTTAAAGTGACTAACTAGTGATCTGGAACTAACTAGCAAGTGTATTAGCAGTGAGTTACTGATAAAGTCATACACAATATGTTTGAATGCGAGGCAAAACAACAACAAAAAAAAACCTGAATATGCAATTAAATAGTCCTGACAAAACAAAATTTAAGACCAGTGCTTAATGTAGTTAAGAAAATTCTGAGATTAAAGTCAGAATTCTGAGAAATAAAATTCTGAGAAAAAAGTCAGAATTTTGAAATTAAGGTCAGAATTTTTTGTTTATTTTTAGTACCTCTAATCCTCTTCTGTATTCTTTCAGCTTAATCACAACATGTTTTTGTGTGTATTTTTTTTCTTTTGGTCTGGTTTATGAAACTGTTGTAAATGCTGTTGTAGCAGGAAACTGAACACTTCACCAGAGTTGTTGTGAAGTGTTAAATCTCTGTTCTTGGGCGTATTATGGCCTTTAAGGTTCTGGTTTTGCACTTTAAGCAGCTCCAGAACATTTCTCTACATCATATTGCATGTGTGAGGATGAATCCATCATCATTTCACTCTTAAAGCTTTTTAAAAGTCTTCCTCACCTGAATAGCACGTCTCTAACTGGCTGCAACACATAATTCAACCCAGTTGAAGTGAAAAGCGTCTTAGAAATGCTTTTCATTTTGCTTCTAAACCGAGGCTAAATTGGATGATAAAAAGCTGCCTTCGCTTTTAAAGTTTCGGTCAGTTTTGATATTGCAACTTCATTATAAATTGCAGACTTTTTAAAATTAACTGAATTGTTCATTTGAACTGCAGATGAATGGAGGTATTCAGGTTTGTCCTTCACAGCCTGAAAAAGCTGCCTTTATTTATCCAAGGCTGAGCTTTGCTGCTGAACACACCTGGGTCTGATTTGCCCATTCATCTTAATAAAAACTTCTTTTTTTTGTCAAATTTAAATCTTCCTCTCGCTCTATTTTTTTGTAATACAGTGCAGATTTTCTGTTGGACTGGCCTTGAGATCCAAAAAGAGAGAAAAAGTTAAATTGCAGCCCACTGCTTCTTAATTTTAAAAAAGAACATACCATTATTAATAATAAATCGCATAAAGAAATGCAGCACCAAAAGAAACAATTTCATGGTGGTCTGGGAAATAATGGCACTTAATAAGAGCAAAATGATTGCAATTTTTCTGTCTGATTAATTCAGCCGTGCTAATTACTTTTTTTTTTTTTTTACACCACTGAGAAATGCTAATTATTTTTACTTATTGAGTCATTATGAGAGCTTGCGAGGAGAAAAACTTGTGAAATCAAAAGCAATGTGACACCCATGAAGAAATGTGACATGTTTACATTCCAGAGCACCTGCAGGAAGTCATTTATAATCCTCATTCTTGTTCAAACGTGAAGAAACATGTCAATTTATTGAGCAAAAACCACAAGAATGAAGGGAGAATATGCCTAATAAAGACAGAAAAGATAAAAGCGGTACCAGTTCTCAATATTAAAGGAACAAAAAGGCAAAAATATTTCCCAAAAGACACCAAATTAGGAAATAATTCACTCCTACTTTAAAAAAGAAAATTAATCCAAAAATCAGGAAGCAGAAATGTTTCTTCCCTCTTTTCTTATTCAACACAGATTTTGTGGGTTTGCTTCTCTTGGGTTTTACAGCACAATTGCAAGCTGTCACGGAGTGTAAAATGTCCTCTTAGGAGCAATCAAAAACAAATACAGGCCTCAAATAAAACTCATTTCACACATGCAGGTCGTGCTTGGTGGCGATTTTCGGTCTGATTGAGTGACAATTTAAACCCAGCTAATTTACCAGCATGAATGTTTTTAACAGCGTTATAAAAAGATTCATGTTGGCCTCTTTCTTTTGACACGGAAAAAGCCATCTGGTGAAAAACTGAGGTTCACAAAGCAATGTTTGGAAATGAAGTTCAACAAAACTGCTAGCTGGGCAGTTCGCCATTTTGTAACTTAGTTTCTTTTTTTTTTTTGGTTGGTTTGTCCTCAAATTTTGGGAAGAAGAAAGCCGGAACAAAGTTTTGGGCTTCCCAATAATTTGATTCAACGCCCTACACAGTTTTCATGTGACGTCACACTACTGCAGCTGACGGACATCTTGGTAGCCTACCATTTTGTAAATTAGCTGTTTTTGGTTGTTTTGTCCTCAAATTTTGGGAAGAAGAAAGCCAGGACAAAGTTCTGTGCTTCCAATGAATTGATCCATTGGAGTAATACATAGTTCTCATGTGATGTTACACTTCTGAGAACTGTGTAGCTGACAGCCATCTTAGTAGGCAAAATTGAGTATGCGTGACTATCGAGAAATATTCATTTAAATGCACAAAGCTTTCGTGATGGACAAACAGATGTTTCAACCGTGCAGACGGTTTGGCAGGATCTCAAACAATGAGTGCTGAACTCTCCAATCACCTTTATTCCAGTTAAAATATATACATATTTTATACATATAATTTTTTTTTTAAATGTCTTTTCTGTTCATGATTTAATACATCTCTGCAGTGGTTAGTTTCGATATGCTATGCTAACTTTTACAAGGTAAAGACTTGCTCAGACACCAGTGATATATTGTAATAATTTTGAGAAGAAGGCAATTGGTAAGAAAATTATCAGTGATATTCACTGTAATAATTACTGCAGAAGTAGCAAATACTCTCCCAGTCACCAGAATCTTATTATTAAAGTGAAGACTTGGTACGTCCTTTACAAAGCCGTTGAAACACTGATTGTATGCATCCATGAGTTTTCAATTCAAATTCATTTAATCAAGGGTAACACATTAAATAATGTGACATTTTAAAAACAGAGTAACCATTGTTACAGGACTTGTATCCATACACTAATTTACAAACCTAGTCCTTGGTTGGACCGTTTTTAAAAGACAGTGAAATTAAAGTTAAAGTTTCCTGTCACACACAGACAGACAGCTATGCTGAATTTTGCTGAAAGTTGGAGAGAAGATGAGGAAAAAAGTGGAAAAAAATTACAATATTGACAAATTTTTTAAATCATAAATTTTAAATGATATTTTATCATAAAATCTAATCTGTTTTCCAATCATTGTTATAAAATATGTTAAAATAATTTACTGAAATGTTATTGTCGTTAATCTTTCTGACAGTCAAACTGCTTTGTTCCTCAAGCCGGCATAGAACGGAAGTTTCTGGAGAAAAAAATGAGGGCTTCGCTGAGGTTGCTAGGTAACGGGCCTGGGCTTCGCTGAGGTTGCTAGGTAACGGGCCTGGGCTTCGCTGAGGTTGCTAGGTAACGGGCCTGGGCTTCGGTGAGGTTGCTGGGTAACGGCGGAGGGCACGTCGAATGTGACTTTACTATTAGCACGTTTTTAAAACGGCCCGTTGGTGGCAGCAGGAACGAAGATAAGACATTTTTCCACATGTAGGTGAAATAATCTGCCGGTGGAACAAGTATTTTTCAACAATGGTAAGGAATTATTGACTACCCATTACTGAAAAGTTACTTGTAAGCTAGTTTTGCCTTATTTCAGGTGTAATAATATATTAGCACTAGAAACTAGACAAAAATACTTGGTAACATTATGTGTTAGGGACTAGATTACTATGACTACTGAAAGACAAACCTTCTGTAATGAATTGCTGTAATTTGTTTGGTACTTTTTTTTATTTATATGAACTTTCTAAAAAGAAGAAATGAAAATCTTCTTAACAATCATAACATAAGGAAACATATCCACCATAAGCATTGCTGCCTTTACTTTTATACCTTCACCCACCGTTCTGATAAGTCTGCATTTTGAAAATAGCCCACACTTGTAGAGCACTCCTTATCTTTCCTCTACAAACTGCTTTTTCACAGCATTTTTTGTGTGTTCACCCCAAAATTTTGCTTTCTACATATGCAGCATTTTTATTCTTAGTTGACAGGACTGAAGGGTGAACCACCCATTCTCCTACTGGAGGATCAAAGCCTCTACACCGAGCCTCAGCTGCCCACATTTGCTCAACGACAAGTAGAGAAAAATAACATATTTATATCCATAAATATGCCACTCTGTTTAGGTTTGAGCATGGGAGGAGAGACGTCCCGAGTTCCTCTACGCCGAAGCAGGATAACGATCCGAAGTGCACTAATAAAGGATTCTTGCAGCATTGTTATCCTGTAAGAGATTAGATTGTTGACAGAAGATCTGCAGAAGAAAATCAAAGTTGAATCTTATCACTGCCACAGATTCCTTACCAGGTCTGTGTTTAGTCTGCTTTAATCAAACTCTAGCTTGATTTTCTAGAAAGTCCGGTTTTTGTTTAGCTTTAAAAGCAAATATCTTAGTACACTTGGAATAAGACAAAACTGACTTTAAAGGAGTTAAACTGATAGTCTTTTTATTTAACTTTTACATTTTAGGTGAAAATATTTTAGGTAGCTAACCAAAAACGCAAAGTCCAAATAAAATGGCTGGGTGCAATGCAATCATAAACCTTCATCTATATTATAATACCTGCAATTTATAGCAGCTGCCAATGATTCAGCTACACTGTAAAAATACAAAATCTTACCAAGTATTTTGATCTACTTTCCACTGCAAATGCATTTGTACATTTCAAATAAGACAAAAATAACCAACTTACAGGTAGCTTTTCAGCAAGATATAGGAGCTTGTTTTAAGTCAATAATTGATCAATATTTATTAAAAAACTTAGTTTCCCTGGCAGATCAAAATTTCAGGGGGTTTTTTTCTTGCAAATTTTACACTTCAAGCTCAGAAAATTTCAGTTTTTTAAAAATAAAATATGTGAAATTAATCTCAACATTTCTGAGTTTGTTTCTCGTAAATTTTACACTTTAAACTTAGAAAATTCTGAGTTTTTTTTTTAAATAAAATTTGTGAGATTTATCTCAAAATTTCTAAGTTTTTTGGCAGAAATGTGCTCTGTTTTTTGTACAATCGTAATCCCGTTGGAGCTAGTACTTTTTCATCAATACTAAGTAATTTTTTAAAAACCTAAACCAAGCTATTTTTGCTTAAAAGTTACTTGAGAGTTAATTTATTCTTATTTCAAGTTAATTAAATATTTCCACAAGAAACTAAACAAAAATACTTAAGACTTTGTGTTTTGCAGTAAATTACTACATTTCATGAACATCTTTAACCTAAATTCAGAGTCACATTTTAATTCACATCAACTCTGATTCAGCTAAGATGACCCACTGAGGCTAACATAAAATAAAAAAAAAAATACATAATGAATGACAAATTACATTTGCTGCATGAAGTACAGAAAGCGAGAGGCCCGCTGTACGGAGGTAAATGTTGGTCGGCCGTATCCGGTAATAAATTGACTGCCACTCCAATCAAAGGAACAACGTTGGGATGCCCCGCTGCATCAGGACGTTCCCTTTAATTAGGTCGAATCCTTCCAACTGCAGCGCAACGTCATGGTGCAGAAACGTCTGGAACCAGCATGGACTCCAACTTTTCATTCATTAGCAAAAAATCAGGTCGGGTTGTGAATCTGCAGGAGATCCAAGGCGAAAAATATGAAATAACACCCAAACATAGCTCTGTTGTTTTCCTAAGCTACTTCAAAGACATTCATAGTGTTTCCATTAAAGCAACAAAGGAAATAATGAATCATTAGTTGCAGGAACAAAATAATATTCGACTGAAAAATCTAATAAAAGCATGTTGATAATTTGAAAAGATTGAATTAGTTCATGGTTGGACAGATGTCGATGAGGTGTGCATTAACTTTGCAAACAAAAATGAAACAGATCAAATTATTAATAAACAGCTTTCTGCCCTTCAGCTGCAAAACAGGAAAACATCAATAAATAATTCTGAAATATTTCAAATATTACTCCATCCTTCTGTTCCGCTGTATTTTAAACCACAACAGTTTTATTAGAGTTTTGTCATGATAACACCTGTTTAACATGTTAAAAAAAGGTAGATTTCTTCTTGTGTTACACTGCACTATTATCACCAAGTAAAACAATGAGCTTAATGAATAATTAATGGCTTAATATAACAAGTTTAGTAACCTAGTGTGATAGTATAATTGGTCTTGTGCTGTAATGTAATGGTGACCTACAACACTGCAAAAAAGCAAAATCTAACAAGGTATTTTTGTGTGGTTTTTAGTGCAAATATTTTAGTACACTTAAAATAAGACAAAACTAAATTATCAGTAACTTTTCAGCCAAATATAGGAGCTGGATTGAAGTCAGCAATTCCTTAACACTGATTTTAAAAAAGTACTAGTTTCACCGGTAGATTATTTCACTTATAGTAACACATTTTTCCCATGTTTTAAGTGAAATAATCTGTACTGGAACTTATTTTTAAATCAGTATTAAGGAATTATTAACTTAAAACAAGCTCCTATATTTTTCTGAAAAGTTACTTTTTAGTTATTTTTTTATCTATTTTCATGTGAAGGTATTTGCACTAGAAACTAGACAAAAATACTTTGTAAGACTTTGTGTGTTTGCAGTGTAAAATCAATACAATTCACTTTATGATATAGCTAGCTTCAGTTAATTTAGTAACTAGTTCTGGACACTGTAAAAACACAAAACCTTACCGAGTAGGGTTGGTGTGAGTTTGTGTTTTGGCAGTGTATACTTGACTTAAATAAACAAACACATAGAGCAGTAAAACTAGCTGACCAAGCGTGCTGGAGCTCAGCTTGGGTTGCTAGGTAACAGATGCTAGGTAACTCTGCTGGGGTTGCTTGGTAACGGTCAGTGCCTGCTGATTTGTTATGTTATACTCCAAAAGTTTTTGAAACGGCCCATTTTCCAGACACCAAAAAATATTAATTTATTGTGAAAAATGGCTGATTGGTTGCTTTTAGAATTAATAAAGACCGAAATGGAAGTACAAAAACATACAAAAGGTGAATTTTCCTTAACGTGTCCCATTTAAAATATTCTTTCAGAGTCTGAGCCGAAGCTCTGGTGAAGAAAAATGGATTCAACTTGTGTTTAAAATAGAGCAGGAGAAGACTCAGCCTCTTCGGTGAGATTAAACAGCTTGAGCAATGATTTGTTGCAGACTGGTTGGATGGAGCGGATCCTGGAAGAGCGCTCTGCAGGTGGGTTGTCTGCTTCTGCCCTGGAGACGGGTTGTAAGTGGCGGGTGGAGACGCTGCGCCTGCAACACAAGATAGGGAGACAATGAAGGAAAACAAAACTATTTAAAAGACAGGTAGATGATATGAGGTGGCGTGAGTGTTTAAATTAGACTGCTGCTTAAAGTACTTTCCACCCAAAATAACCAATTTTAGCAGCAGAGACAGAAAAACTGGCATTTCTATTTTTATTTCAGGATGTCTCCGTGTATTAAACTCTTCTTGTGAATCTTTTCTGACTGACAGGGTTAAAAAAAACATGTTTGCGTGCTTCAATTAAAAACTTGGACTCATTATCTTAATTGCAATCTCGGTCTTTAATTAGCAACACACACACACACAGAGTTATTCAGGTGTGATCAATGGCCTCCCTAATCTCCCAGCATAAAATGAAAAGAAAATAATATCAGTGTTTTACCATCTTTAATTAGAATGTAATGTCAAAATTAATAACAATCAAGTCAATTAGCATTCAGAGTTGGCTGATGCGCGCTGATTCTGGTCTTTAATATTACTGCGATTCCTGGTTAATTGTCGTCATTACGGGAGCATTCAGCGGCACTTCTGAGGAAATTAATGGAGTGAGCTGAGCTGACGGGAAAAGCTGTGGAAAACTGTGGAGCCGAGACAAAAAAAGATGCAGCAGAAGAAGAAGGCGTCACCTCAGCAGGATCACTGATTTTACTGCGTCTAAATTAGATCGCTTTCCCAGAAACACAAAACTCAACCTGTCAGAGGAATCACTCTCCTATCAGGAGGCGGAGGGTTTTATTGTCTTACAGGCACCAAACCTGCTACCACGATGACTTGGAGCTATTGTAGGAAGAAATTTAAAAAAGGAGGAGAAAATGTCCACTAAAAAAATCTGAAAGATTTAGATTCAGAAATTAATCCTGAGCTCCGAATGTCAAAAATTTTTGTGAAAAGAAATCTTACATTTTCTGGAAAAAACAAGGAAAGTTCTGAGTTAGAAATTTGCTAGAAAAATACTCTGAAATTTTCTATTTAATCTCAGAAATTTTCTAGAAAAACAAGGAAATTTCTGAGTTTGAAAAGTTGAAAATTTGCAAGAAAAATCTCAGAAGATTTATGAGATTAAACCAGAAAATTTTCTAGAAATTTTGAGCTCCAAAATGTGACTGCGGAGCTCAAAAGTAAAAATTTGCTAGAAAATTTTGACTTTTGGAGCTCAGAAAATTGCTAAAAAAACTTTAGCAATTTTTTTTCTAAATAATTTTTCCCACAAAAATTATTTGTGGGAAACCACAGAGAAGTTTAGGCTAAATCCCAATGGTCTGATCCTAAACCAATCAGTAAATAGAGCGCTAAACTCAAAGATTTGACATTTTTGAGTTTTAAATGTCAAAAATGTTCAACTTTTGGAAATTTTCTGTAAACTACTATTTCCACGAGCAGGTTTAGAGTGCTGCATTAAGGCCATTGGAGACAGAAAAAAAGGTCAATTTCAACCAAAATCTTTTAAATTTTAGATTAATTTCAGAATTTTTTTTTTACCAAAACAAATGTAGAAATTTCGGAGTTTGAAAAGTCAAAAGTTTTCTAGAAAAAAAAACCCTCGAGAGTAATCTCGGAATTTTTTTTTGTAAACAACCTGCAAGTTTATGAGCTTTAAAAATAAAATAAAAAAATGCTAGAAACACTTCAGAAGTTTTGAGTTTAATCAGATCTTTTTTACCTTTGAAATTTCTAAGTTTTTTGTAGAAAATTTCTCAGATTGATCTCAGAATTTTAGATTTTTTCTTCAAAGTTTTCACTTTTCAAACTCAGAAAGTAAAAAAAAAATTCCTCAGCTTAATCTCCAAATTTGAGTAGTTTGGTGAAATTATTCTCCTTTTTAGATCAAAAATGGCCTTAATGCACCATTATAATCCTGCTCACTTTAGACATTTCAAACATTCTAAGTTTTGTCTCCTAATGCAAGACAAAGCCAATTATTAAACAGATCAACAGTGTTCATGGGAAAGATGCATTCTTAAAGGTTTTATGTACTCTCTCAAATTAAACCTCAAATGTTAGAAAAACACAACAGATTCCTCTTTACCTTTTACCAAACAGCGACGAGGCTGAGAAGTATTTCTAAGAAATCTCGCAGTAATATCTACCTGCAGTTGTTTCTGTCCGACTTTATCAGTCTTTCACTGTTAACTTTTCTTTCCAACTTTGCTGCAGTGTTTTGGAGTTAGACATTCGTTTCTGCACAGCTCTCTTCAAGCTCCTGGCAGTTCAATCAGACTGCGGTCCAGACTTTCACTGGGCTCTTGCAACACCTTCATTCTTTCCTTTTTCAGCCAATCTATAGGTTTTGCTTTGTTTTTGAAGAAAAGCAAAACAATTTCCAACATATCATACATTAAGTTTATGAAATTATTTGTGGGAAACCACTGAGAAATTGACACTAAAACGCAATGGTCTGATCCCAAACCAATCAATATAAAGAGTGCTAAATTGCTTTGCAAAAATTAACGTGTGTCATACTTTTATTAGGTTGTCCTGCTGCTCAAGATAGGCATTGCTGGTGGCCATCTATTTGACTATTGTTATATTTTTTAATCTTCCAAACATTTGACTGCCCAAAGTTTTCTATCATTGTACTAATGTGTCGTTCTCGACATAGTTGTGTTGGACAAATTTTGCAGTTGCAAAATGTGAGTGAGCAATTAGTAATGGAACACAAAATACTTAAACAGCAAAACTGAACTATATTTAGATCACGTCTGTCAGGCTGTATTATTTTCCCCAAATGCCTGAAAAGTTACTACTTTAGAAAGAAACTTTAAATGCGCTAAAACGTATCTTTAGCGCATGTCCCCCAGTGACGACACGTAGCTATTTTTTAAAGAATATTTTCCACAAATCTCTTTGTCGGAGATTCAGTTCCTCCAGGTAAGAAGCATTTTGTTTGGGACAAATAATATATTTGTATATTTGTTTAGCGTAGTTCATAACAACTGATTTGAAGATGCTTTTAATGCTCTTGCACTAAAATAACAGAAAATAGTCAGAATCAGCGCCTGTTTAACCAGCAGCAATACTATTTCAGCAACTTTGTTAGCAATGTTTCATGTAACATAAGAGCTGCTAACACAGTCCTACCGCTCTTCAACAAAGCTTAACTGCTCCATAAGACGCTGAACTATCATTTATTATACTTAAAATACATATATTAAGCACAGAAAAAGAAACCCTCGTACTTTTTCCAACGGAATCCAAGAGGCCTTCCGTTAGCATGGGAAAACAATTCGCCCGCCATAATGGTACGATCTGTTAACTTTTCTGTTTAAACACCGAACTGACTCTCAAAATAACAAACTATGAGCTTAATATGCTAAACATTAAAGATAATTATTAACAATTACAATCAAAACAACACATTAAATGCAAATAAAATAATAATACCAAACCGGAAATTACCTGGTGTTTTGAAGTTGCTCTGCCGACTTTTCAAAATAAAAGCTACCGGTGCTCTTTTAATTTCCTACCATAATAAACTTCCGGTTTCACATTGCTACATTTGCACTTGAAACTACGCTTAAATAATTGGTAAGATTTTGTTTTTTGCAATGTAACACACCCGTTTTTGTAGTTTTCGGTTGATTTTTTCTATTACGAACCATAAAAGCAAAGATGTTATTTGTTTTCTCCACTTGAGGAATGGTTTTAGGATGTCATTTGATTTTCTTTTTTAAATTTAGTCCAACCTTTTCCCATGATTTTCTGCTTTAAGAAGGGAATAATCTACAATGAGGTATTTTCCTGAAGAAATGCAGGGAAAAAAGACCTCATGGAGGGGAGGACGTTTGAAACTAAAGCTGTTGGTTTGAGTCCGCTCTTTCTACTTCCTGCTTGGAGAAACACATTAAGCAGGACTGGAATCGCAGGATCATCAATTAATGATTTCCCGGGCTGCGGTTTTCCTGCCCTGAGCCTGGTTCTGTAATCAGTGAGTGAATAACTTTGTACAGGACGGCTGCTAATGAGGGCCAATAAAGATGTTGGCCACGGGCTTCAGAAGATGAACTCGGATCCTATTTAACAGTTTGCCCTTTGGGATGATATGACCCACTAGAGACCGCCGGGCCGTTGAGATGTTTACCTTGAGATTCCTCACTAAATATTAGATCTTAATTATCTTTGCAGCCATTTGGGATATGCTGTGTATATCCGGGAGCGGGTTTTCTCCTTCCACTGCAAAAACACAAAGTATTACCATGTATTTTTGGTCTAGTTTCTAGTCCAAAAATCTTTGTACGCTTGAAGTAAGACAAAACTAACTTTTCAAAATGATATAGGAGCTTGTTTTAAGCCTATAATTCCTAAAGTCAGTCGCCTTTTTGGTTTGCCACTTAAACTATTTGCAATAAAGTTTAACAATTAAATAAAAATACCATCAGTTTATCTTGTCTTATTTCAAGTGTACTTGGTAAGATTTTGTGTTTTTCCAGTGTACAGCTAAAGTAAACTCAAATAAAACACGGGCTTTCCAAAGATAAAATACTTGCACTGCAAAAACACAAAATCTTACCAAGTGTTTTTGTCTAGTTTCTAGTGCAAATATCTTAATATATTTGAATTAAAGTAAAACTAACTTACAAGTAACTTTTCAGCAACATACACGAGGTATTTTTAAGTAATCTATTTGTTAATACTTATTTAAAAAGTTCTAGTTCCATTTCACTTATAATATGGGAACATGTCTTGTTGTAAGATAAATAATCTCCAAATGGTAATTGTACTTTTTTATCAATATTAAGCACTTATTATCTACCTCGAGATTTGTTACTAAATATTAGATCTTAATTGTTTTTGTAGCCATTTGGGATCCACTGGTATATTTGGGATTTTACCAAATATTTTTGGTCTAGTTTCCAGTGCAAATATCTTCGTGCGCTTGAAATAAGACAAAAGTAACTTAAAAGTAACTTTCAGCTAGATGGGCAGAACGGGACTGGGCTTCCCTGTGGTTGCTAGGAAACGGCTTGGCTGGGGTTGCTAGGTAACCGGGCAGTCGCTTAACAGTTGGGCGTTTTTTTAACGGGTCATTGGTAGCAAGTGAAATGATCTGTCAGTGGGAGTATTTTTCATCAATATTAATGAATTATTGACTTAAAACAGACTACTATGTCTAGCTGAAAAGCTAATTGTAAGTTAGTTTTGTTTTATTTCAAGCGTACTAATATATTTGTGATAGAAACTAGACCAAAACTGCGTTTGTCTTTTTGCAGTGTGGTGCGATTTCTTTCTTTTCCAACAGTTTGTAAAAGTTTGGGATGACTCAAAAGTGTCCAGAGGTGTTACATGAGCGCACAGCTATGTCGTTAAACCCCATTACTTCTGACCTGAGGAGGGAAGTTGGGATTATCTCAATGCTATTGTCTTACATTTGGAGAAGAGCCGAGGGTTTAATCAAATCGCGGAGCAATCAATGCAGCGGCTCCAGCGGACACTTCCCGCTGCCCTTGGAACCCAAGGAGTATTCAGAGTCGACACCAGCGGCTAAAAGAGTCGCTTCGGATACATCATCACGGAGAATGAGATTAACCTCCCCTCCCCCGCCCACCGGGATATCTAATGTCACCGAGCTTATCTTCTAAGCGCTCAATCAACCTCCAAGAGTCTGGAAAAAAACACACCACCACCTCGCGGCCATTTTGTTTCTCTTTCAACTCCCACGACATGGTGGCGACTCGTGTTTGTTCGCTTTTCAACTTTTCATGGAGACGATCCAGAGAGCCAACCTGCTGTGCTGGTGGGAGTGTTTCTGTGGGACAAGAGAGGAATAAAAGTGGGGATAAAGATGCATTTTATGGCTGAAATATTGGGACACAAACCCCTGCGGCTATGACTGGACTCTGTCCCAGATACCCTTATTTATTATTGAAGTGTTTCCCTATTTTCCTCCTTAGTCCATTTGTTCATCTCAACAACATTTAAAGAGATACATCCGATCTTCTTAAAGCGTAAAAAACATTTTCTTCCACACAACAATAACAAACTTCCATGTATTTATTTCAATAGCATGTACTATAGAGCTACAGAGGGATTCAGACTTGAAGTAAAATGATGCTTTTTAAATATTTTAACCCCCTTTTCTCTTATAACACTAAATGCAAAGCAATCCAACCAACTGCGTTCAGAATAATTACTAAAAAGTCAATAAATGCAAATTTATTGTTCACAAATGAAAAGAATATGAGGTGCTCTTTGTAAAATTACAGTGAAAAATTAACACCCTGTCATAAAAAAAAACATATTTTCACCATTCTCTTAACAGTTTCAAACTAACTGCTTAACTAGCAATCCAAATATTTAGCATATATTTAGCTAGCAAACTGAATATTTAGCATGTAATCTAAATATTTAACTCCATATTTAGTTGGCAAGCCAGATATTTATCTAAATATTTAATTGGCTAACTAAATATTTAGTTTGCTAAATATTTAGCTTCATGCTTAGTTAGCAAGCAAAATGCTTCACATATATTTAGCTCTATATTTAGTTATTAAACGAAATATTTTTTGCAAGTTAGCTAGATATTTATTTCCGTATTTAGTTAACAAACTAAATAATTAGTTCCATGCTTAGTTAGCAAACTAAATATTTGGCTCAATATTTAGTTATCAAGCTAAAATTAGCTCCAGCTTACTTTAATTTGCAAATAAGCTCAATATGTAGCTCCACATTTAGTTAGCAAGCTAAATATTATAATCATTCAATATGACCACAATTACAGCGTTTAACAGCAGAGGTATTTAAACATCTTTATGATTTTTATCTTGTTTTTATGTCCTTTTTGAATACTTTATAGTTGTGTTGAAGATTAATTTCTTTCAGAAAAATTAAATGTTCTGTTCTAGTTTGGAGCTAAATATTTTGTTAGTAAACTAAATTGTTAGTTTACAAATGTTTACCTTAACTTTAAGTTAAACATTTAGCTTAGAACTCGTTTGAAAATTCACTTGCCAACAACCAGAAATGGATTATCAAAATAAAAGCTGCATTTTCAATGTTTTCATGTTTTACAACAACAGTGTCTTCAGATAGTGGTTTAGCCAGAGCAGCTGGACTGGAGATACTTCCTGGCACAACTCTTTAAAGAAACTTATAAAATGCATTATGTTAATGTTTTAGCATTTTTAAATTTGAATTGAACTGTATTATAATCTCAGAATGGTTGTAAAAACTAATATTAATACAAATGTATTAATTGCATGAAAATGTTCTGCATTGTTCTGCCACTCATTTTCTCTATGTGTGTGTGTGTGTGTGTGTGTGCGCGCCCATGTGTGTGTGTGTGTTAAATTGAGCCCCTGAGCAGAAAGTGGACTCTGACTTCTTTTACTGGAAACCAAATTGGATGAAATCCTTAGCTGAATGCAGAAAATACATTTACATTAATGTGACCTCCTTTTTCATTTCGGCCAAGTCTGGTTTTACAGAGAAAATTACAGCCAGCCCATCATCTGAGGTAAATGATATATGTGAATGCATATTTTAAATATATTAATCCAAAAGCAATTTTCAGGTTGGCTCCCTGTCAGGTCGGCAGTCATCTTTTCTTTTTTTTTTCACCCCTTCCAGCTCAGGCATTGTTTCGCTAATCTAAAAAGATGAGTATTAAGGTTATTTTGTCAGTGCAGCTTTCCATGTCAGAATATCCTGGAGCTGTAATGCAGAAGGGTTTATTCTATTTCCTCTAATTACCCAAAGAAATGTTCATATTTCAATGGGCAGGCGGCCTAAACAGCTTTGTTTACAAATATGCAGACAGAACAGAAGAAATCTGGAAAATGCAAAGTTTTCTCCTTTACAGATTTATTCTTTTTTTGTCACATTTAAAGGGGGCCTCTTATTAAAAAATGTGCACATATTTATATTTCCATCTGCTTGAAACAAAAAAGTCCAGAAATGTATAAAGTATAAGTTCTTAAATTTGTTGAGAAATTAATAAAATATGGTTAATTTTGGTTTAACCAGAGTTTAACCATAAATAAATCAAGTGATGCCCAGTGATAAAATAGATTTTAGTTTTATTTATATTGTTTTGTGCATCCTGAGTAACTTTTTCTTGTGTTGGTTCTTTAATTTTTCAGAAGAGTCCATGAATATTTGCAGTCTGGCTGCAGAAAACGCTGTGATATTTGTCAAATGTACATTTCAAAAAGGAGCTGAATGGAAACTCTCACTTAAACACAATTGCCTTATTAATTCATTATGTGCTAACTGCCTACTTTGATAAATAATAGAAAGACTTCCAGCTTTGTAGATGTCAGTCATCCTTGTTTTTTGTGCTAAATTGTGTTTGAAATGTAAATTCTGACAAATTCACCTTCAGTAATGTTTGAAAGCATAAACTATTGTGCATGTTTGATTATCTTGCTTTTTAATCTCTGCGAATGAGCAGCTTCTCCTTTTGTTTCATGAGACTCCTATGGGAATTTTGACTTTCTGACCGAACACAGATCTCTGCTTTGAAGTTAATGAGAGGAATCTTGAAATCGGCTTTGTTTAATTGATAGTCAGTGTTAAAAACACATCCTAACAATCCGTGGCTCAGTTCGACTAAAACCAGCTCTTCCCTCTGAAATCTGGTACACAGGTATTCTGTTTTCACAACTTTGTGTGTGAAAAAATACGTTTTCACTGCAAAACAAGATATAAAATTAGATTTAATATGACCTATTATGCTTCCTGGAGGGCTGCACAGTGGCACAGTTGGTACAGCTGTTGCCTTGCAGCAAGAAGGTTCTGTGTTCAATTCCCAGCCCAGGATAGTGTTGGTATTCATCCCACATATGGTCTTTCTGCATGTGTGGGTTTTCTCCAGGTACCAAAAGAACAAATTGGCCTCTCCAAATTGTCCCTAGGTGTGAATGTGTCTCTCTGTGTTGCCCTGCAACAGACTGGCGACCTGTCTGGGGTGACCCCGCCTCTCACCTGGAATGTTAGCTGGAGATAGCCACCAGCACCCCTCCCAAACCCACTAAGGGACAAGGGTGTAAAGAAAATGGATGGATGCTTCATGAAAAAGCTTAAAAAGTTTAGGATAGGTCTATGTAATAAAAAAAACATATTCTTTACATTTTTGCACAAAATTATTCTTAGATAATGAGATTTTAATCCATTTTTTTATGTCTTTGAAAAGCAGAAGTGGAGCCTCCTGTGCAGCCAACAAAGGTGCAGAAAGTGGCTTCTGGATAGGAAGTCAAAAACAAAACACTTGTCTTTTCCAGCAGCCATTATACAGCAAATACAGTGGTAAAACCAGCTGATAAAACATACTAGAGCTCCGGTTGCTAGGTAATGGTGCGGAACTCCTCTGGCATTGCTAGGTAACAGTTATTGTGTGCTGATTCGTGTCGTTACATTCCAAAGGTTTTTAAAATGGCTCTTTTTCACGACACCAAAAAGCATGAACTTATTACCAAAAATCATCGGTGTGGATTTTTTTTAAGCGCTTGGGTTGTTTTTAAACGCAGTAGAGACTCAATGGAAGTAAGAAATGTGAATTTTGCATCATAGGTTTCCTTTAAGAAGCTCCAATTTCTTTCTGACACTTTGCCTTTATTACGTCATCACAACAATGCCTCTCATTTTGCTGTTTACAATCGTACTTAGGACCGTTGGAGTGAGAAGTAGTTTGTAGAAGGAGCTCAGCAGACTCACAGTCCCACTAGGTGTTTGCTAATGGCTGCTGCTGCTAGTCTAGAGGAGCTGACCAGCACCCTGTGAGGTGGATGCTCAGTTGATGACTTCAAAGTTCCTATTCAGCATAAAATTTGTGTCAAAATTTAGAATGCAGCAGCTGGTTTGTATAGAAACATGTAAAAATGTGTCAGTTTCTTTGATTCCATCTTTAAATGAAGTGTTTGTTGCAGCAGAAGTTGAAATTTGGACGTAGGAAATGATGAGTTGGGGGATGGGAACCACTTTTTTCCCCCTGGAAAGCCTCTTTCTCTGCTTTGCTGCTCTGCCTTCCCACACAGCAGCACAGATAACCTCCTTTTGAGGTGTGGAAAATCACCTACAGAAGGAGAAGAAGCCGACTGAGAAAAGCCTGACACAAAGGGATGAATTACAACACTATCCTGTGATGCAGTGAACAACCGATTGATTGATGGCTCTCAGCTTTGTGCTAAAGTGACCAAAGATGCATTTTTTGTTCCAAACAGACCAACATTGCCTCTGCTTTTTGCTGCAACAATAAAATTCAGATTTTATTGCTCCTTCTGAGAAGATTACAGTTCATATGCTTCTGTTTTAAACAAATATTCAGCGATTTCAGACGTTATGTGGAAGAACCATTCGGCCATTTTGTTTTATTTGAGCAGATTAAATGAAGTGTGTTATCTCTTTTTCTGTATCTGCTGGTTTTGAGCAGAAGCAGCAAAGATTAACAGTGGGGCTTCATGGACAGTTAACCTAAAAAAAATAATAAAAGCCTCTGCTCATATATTGGTGCTTCAGAAAACGTTAAGCAATGTGAATCCTGCTGCTCATCTGTTGAAATGTATCAGAAAGGATCAGAATGGTGCATTTTAAAAGCTCGACCGGTTTAAAAAGTAAGAAGCTCTAGAGGATGAGTGAGGGTGGTCAAAGTGGGGTGCCTGGGCCATTTGTGGCCCATGGACTGTTTTTTTTACAGCCATAATTGAAAAATAAATTAAATTGAAATTTTCTCACAAAACATCCAACACTCAGTGATAATCTGGGTTCTTTTTGTCGTCATGGTAACTAGGACCACATCTACTCGTTGGTGCACCAACT